AAGATGTGCAAGCTATCTGCTGTCCTGATGTCAATGGGGAGCTCATTCCACCATCCTGGAGCAAGGACAGCAAACCCACGTGTTTTCGCCGATGGGAACTTGGGTCCCCCTCGCAGCGAGGGTGCAGCGAGTCGTTTGGCTGATGCAGAGCGTAGTGCACGCGCTGGGGTGTACGGTTTAACCATGTCCTGGATGTACGAAGGGCCAGATCCATTCGCAGCATGGTAAGCAAGTACCAGTGTCTTGAAGTGGATTCTAGCAGTTACCGGAAGCCAGTGAAGGGAGCGGAGGAGCGGAGTGGTGTGGGAAAATTTAGGAAGGTTGAAGACCAGACGAGCCGCTGCATTCTGGATGAGCTGCAGAGGTCGGATGGCACATGCAGGTAGACCAGCCAGGAGGGAGTTGCAGTAGTCTAGGCGTGAGATGACGAGAGCCTGGACCAGAACCTGAGTCGCTTTCTGTGTCAGCTGGGGACGTATCTTCCTGATGTTGTAAAGCGTGTATCTGCAGCAACGGGTTGTAGCAGCGATGTTTGCAGTGAAGGACAGGTTGTTATCTAGGATCACACCCAGATTCCTTGCAGTCTGAGTCGGGGAAACAACTGAGGTGCCGATGTTGATTGTTAGGTCAAGAGTGGGACAATCTTTTCCCAGAAGGAAGAGCAGCTCAGTCTTGTCAAGGTTGAGCTTGAGGTGGTGAGCAGACATCCACTGAGAGATGTCAGCTAGACAAGCAGAGATGCGTGCGACGACCTGGGTCTCTGAGCGGGGAAAGGACAGAATTAATTGGGTGTCGTCAGCGTATCAGTGGTATGAAAAACCATGCGGGCTAATGACAGATCCGAGCGAGTTTGTGTACAGGGAGAAGAGGAGGGGACCAAGAACAGAGCCCTGAGGGACCCCTGTAGTTAATTGACAAGACCCAGACCCTCTCCAAGTCACCCTGTAGGTACGGTCTTTCAGGTATGAGGTAAGGAGGGAAAGTGCAAATAAACACACACACACACACACACACACACATTATTGTATATAGTTGAGTTTTGACAGCATCCATCAAACTAGATTTTTTGCCACTAGATGTTATGGTGAAACAAACTAGATGTTATGGTGAAACAGTATATTGCACTCACTGTTGCGAGAGGAGGCCAGCCGAAATTGGCAAAAATTGATGGATTGACCAATCAGATGAGGCTACCGTCATGCCCCTGCCAGCCTGTGACTAGTCAGGGCCATGCCAAGGGAAGCCACCCGCCCTCTGGCTTCACTCCAATCAAATCGCATCAACTTCATACTGTCATCACCGGCGTTGGTAATTAGCAACATTAGCAAGTGCAGTTATGGAGGGTGGAGATTTAGAGTATTTAGTAAAACACTACTTTGTTACTTTTGGACTAAAGACTGAGCTAATCACAGAGACGAGGGAAGAGAAGGTGGACTATCGCATGCAATGTTTCTGCACATAACTGTTTTTGAAGTCATGTGTTTCATACACGTAGCCTACTAATACTTTGATGTGAACGTAAAACTTTAAAAGTCTCCTGATTTAGTTTGTGAATGAATGCTTATTTTTTATTCATTACCGAATCTGCACTGCGCATTAAGCGGCTGGTTATGCATTTGGTTGGGGAGTTGGCTGCATAAATTAATGCGTGCGGACCTGTAGGTTATACAGGCGTGCGCAAGTCCTGCATCTGTATGATACAAATGTGTGTAAAATGATACCGGGCGCTGTAACAACTCATCTGGTTACATTATTACCCCCCCCCCCCAAAAAAAGGACATCGATTATTGGCTTCCTCAAATTTTTACCCCACGCTACTGGCGTCCATGTCAAGTTATCGTCAACTCTCACAGGATGAAAACAGTATTTCCAGTCTCTGCGTTTTTATAGTAAAACCGGAAGTATTCCCCTGACTGTCAAATTATTTTACTGTTATATCTGCATTACTCTAAAACTAAAACGTGTTACTTACACGACATTAGTTGGTTTAAATTGTGTACAATGGTTTTGTGTTTTTCCCTTTTGATTCAGAGAGACACATTTATTTTTCAGAGATGTGGATAGCCGAAAACATCTAACTACCCATAATGCTCAGCTATCGTTGAAGCTCGGTGATAGGATGTTTTAGCCGCAATGCACGCTGGGATATGGTGTTTATGCGATAAGAAATCCGACATGGTCAGCTATTGAAATTCTGATTCCATAGATGTGTCTTCCATCACCTAAAACCCCTGACTATACTCTCAACTCAGTATTTACTTTCTTTAATTCAAAGAAAAACGACAAGTCCCATTCTATCAGCTGTGCACCGTTATGGTGTAAATATAGCCTATCTACTAATTGGATCAAATATAAAAGTCAGCCAAATTAGTATTGATACTGCAAGGAGATGTATTGTGTGAAGATAAATTGAAGATGTTGTTTAATTGCCGATATATTTATGATCCACGTCACATATTCAGTTTCGTTGGCAGTTCTAATCAGGGCTCTATAAATAAAGAACTACGGCAGATGTGTAATATGTAATACAGCCGAACCGTGTATTACAATGCCGTTATGTGATGACTTCTAAAGAGAAGAGGAAGCACACGCGGAATAAAGTATTTTTATTTATTTTTTTAAATGTTTGCGGATTTCTTATCGCATAAACACCATATCCCAACGTGCATTGCGGCTAGAACATCCAATCAGAGCGCTTCAACGATAGCTGAGGATTATGGGTAGTTACATTTTTTCAGCTATCCAAATTTCTGAAAAAGAAATGTGTCTCTCAGAATAGGGAAAAACACAAAACCATTGTACACAATTTAAACCAATGAATGTTGTGTAAGTAACACGTTTTAGTTGATGAGTAATGCAGATATCACTGTAAAATCATTTGACAGTCAGGGGAATACTTCCGGTTTTACTATGAAAACACAGAGACTGGAAATACTGTTCTATCTCACACAGGCTACACCCTCTACTGGACTCTATGGGTACTACTCTCATCAATGATACGCGAGCGTTCACACACTGAAGTTGTATAAACGTAGCCGGCCAATCAGGGCGAGCCTTCCTGAATGCGCGCGCAGGCTCACAGTATGGCTACGCCTCCTGACTGTCATCCTTTTCTCTTCAGCGAGCAAGACAACACCTGACCAGAAAAGCATTAAAAAAAAACAAGTAAAAAGTATCTTACCTCCAGGCAAGCAAATGGAGTCGCCCCTACAGGAAACCCGTGCATGTCACTCATGCCTGGCTTAATAGCGGGCGCCGATCCCCACCAGCTCTGTTTTTAGTGCCTGAGACCAGACCACACCGAAGACGAGCTCGAGGTGGTGGACGTGCGAGACCCGGATATGGCCGAGGTGACGCCACCAACGTTCGCCATCCCAGCCGTGCGGGTTATGGCTCCGTTTGCTGAGGAGGAAGAAGATGACTTTGTCCCCCCACCACTGCCGCCTCCGCCAGCCGCCTCCGCCAGGGGTTTGCCTGATATCTGGGTTATCCACTGAAAACGAGAGCTCCGGTGGCAGGAATGGTAGGTATTCTGAGGGTGCGGGGCCGCACGAAGACCTCATATCCCGGCGTGCCCCCCCTCGATGAGAGCCTGGCACAGTGGCACAGGCAACAGGCTGGGCGGAGAACCTCTGCCCCCGCTGCCGCATGACAGGGAAAACACTGGAATATTTTTGATAGAATATTCCGGCTTGGAGCGGATGGCCGCGGCTGCAAATGACACGGGTGTGTTGGGCGTCTCACTGATTATTCCTCCGCAAGATGCCACCACCTCACCGGATCAGAGCGATTATTTGGACTGCAGCATCGGCCAAATTAATAACCTGATCCATGGTGTGGCAGCCGCTGCTGGCCTGGTGATGTCCCTGGCCACAGTGGGATCACGCCATGGCTGGCTGGGACTCCCGGCATTCTCCAAAAGGTGACCGTGATGATCTCATGGGAGCCCCTGTGTCTACGGAGGGGCTCTTTGGATCGATAGCCTCGGTCACGCAGCGTTTCAAAAGTAGCGCTATTGTGAGCACACTCGCCACTCCCGCTGTAAACTCCAGTAGAGGAGCCAGCGGATGGGCGCGCTCACGTGAGTGTAATAAAACAAAAATGCTGTCCTTTCCCCGCTCAGAGACCCAGGTCCTCCAGGTCTTTATCATTTATCAGATGGAATGTCATGATGTTTGAATTGATTTTAAGTGGACACAGGGACAACACATTTGCTGTATCTGATACAGAGGCACTGTATGCTTATCTGATTTTCGTTAGGAGGCAAATTCATTGCAGGCCCTGGTGGATAGAAATGCAGAGGCTACTGACACTGGGGTTTTATAGTGTTCGGAGGAGTGGGCTGCCATTATGTACAGTGCCCGGGCAGCAGTGTAGGAAATGGTGCCTTGGTCAGGGACACCTCGGCAGCACTTGGTCTTTCGGGGACTTGAACCGGTGACCTTTCGGTTCCCAAGCCAAGTCCCTATGGACTTCGCCACCACCGCCCTATAGTTAAAATACGTAGTATATTCACGTTCTCCTGGCGAGACCTCAAATAATCTTCGTAATATCTATCAAACTATAGATCCTACACATCCACTGGACGTAGATTTTAAAAGTACAATATACACTTCTCGCTAGAAATCGAATCAAAAAGCATTTTAATGACCAAACTATCCTACGATTTAGGATTTTCCACAAAAAATAAGTCGGGTGACCGCCATGTTTTTTTTTCTCACGCTGGGAAAGTTTGCGATCACGTGACATGGACACTGGTCATTAGAAATTAATGGGAAAAAAATGGTATCAGTGTCACGTTTTGAGACGGTTATTTGTGAAGATATTACGTCTTGCCCTGTGGACCAACGTAGCTATTTCACTTTTTTTTTGTGAGACTGGGTTAAAGAACCTGGTACGTATGTGAGTCGATCCAACACCATGCTGTGGAAATGAGGCAAAAGGTTAACTTGGAACAATATTCAGTATGAAAATGTTATCTTGTTTCTGTGATCCTGCAGGTGTTGGAGCCAGCCCATATGTTATTAACTGCAACGTCACTATTGACACCCAGGACTTGGCCTTAGGACGCAGCATCGCCACAGCCATCAGGGAGTCGACCCCCGGGGGGCTGCCGGGGGTGCAGGTGCTGGCGCTGCCACATGATGGCGCTGTGGAAATCGCATGTAATGTGGAAAGTGTGAAAGGGCGCTACCCTAGCAACATGACTGCAGGAGAACCATGGCCGAGTTTCAGCATCCAGGGCCAGCCCTACTGTCATGCTCCAGCTTCTCTGATCACTGCAAGAGTGGCAGAGCTGGCAGGGAGGCAGGGGATTGGTACAAAGAACACAGCGCTGGTGGGGTTTACCCCCCACGAGTGCAGGGGCCTGGCAGAGTTAGCGCTGTCACAAGGGATTGCTGAGTTCTGGAAAGAGCAGCACAGGATCAGAATGTGAAAATAAATATTTGCCAAAAACAGGAATCCTCACACTTCTTTGTTTTATGTCATATTAATTTGTTAAGCCCCGCCCCCTCTGTTACCGTTGATGCATGTTTGCAGTTTAATGTAATGGTGGCAGATTTACCTCTCAAATTCTTAGTTATTGTTTAATCAATAGGTCTTTGATTTCACACAGAAAAAGCTAAATATTTTTTTTCTAGCCAATTGTTCATTGCTGATTTTATTATCTGTCAGCTAACACTGTGTCTTCAGAAGGCTTATCAGACATTCCTCAGAGTGTTTTATTACCACTATGGAGAATATTGTGTCATCCTCTAAAACACACCTGCTGATCAGTGCCATTCTAATGTGACTCTTGCAGTTGAGGAGATTTGGGTTTCTCTTTATTTTCTACCAAACCAAGACCAAAAGCCATAAATCCCAGCATGTCATCCTCCAGAGTGGAATTTGAATGTGTTTGTCATTTCCTGTTTGGAGCAAATAGGACACTTGTGTTTACTCTGCTGACGACTCTTCCCATGATGTTCACCATCAACCTTACAATGCATGACTTTATGGAAGAGTCACCATCTGTGCGTAAAACAGCTATTTTTATCACAAGTCATGAACTGAATCTTAAGAAGCATCCAGCGCTGGCAACATGTTTGGAAATGTTTACTTTTGTATTGTATATTATTATAGTTTAAATAAAGCAGCTTGTCAATATCTATATGCAGTGTGTGATGCATGTGATTAACCATTTATATCGTGAAGGCGAATTACGCCAGAGGACAGGTCAGGAATAAACTGGGGCGAGATGATTCCACTAATTTCTTACATAAGGCCAGTACAATGTATTGAATAGCAGCACATCATGCAGTAAGGAGGTATGGATTTGAATCATTAGGCAATAATAATGGATATATATGGATGTGATACAAAAGCAGGGTCGGAGTGAGGTTTTAAAGGGAAGAAACACTTCACGATGATGTTCAATGTAAGCCATATGCACAGGATATTAGTGAATCGAGAGCCAATGACTGCCTAATCTGCATCAGAGTGTGGGTGCTAATCTGTTCAACTTTACGCACAAACCGAGGTAGTATGAGTCATAACATCTTCCAGTAAAAAGATCCTGCTTTGGCTTCAATGTCTGAATCTACTATCATTTCAATATGTTGTGATGTTTCTTACATTGTTTTGCATTTGAAGTAACATGAAAACTCTCCCTTTGAGGCAGGAGCCATGCAGTCTTCATCAATATGTGTGTTCTTTGGATAATCTCTCTTCCTGTGAACATTCACCTCTCTGTATGTCATCCAGCTGAGGCTCAGTCACACAAGCAACGCAGCCATGCAGCTTCATATCTCTCTCACACACACACACACACACACACACACACACACACACACACACACACACTCACACACTCAGCCTGCCAGGGTTGGGAGCATCAAGGCCTAATCTAGGTCACAGCATAAACCCAAAGGTATCCCGGTCTCCACAAACACACACACACACACACATATACTCTCACATGCACGCATGTTTTTAAATTTGCAAGCAAAATTAAATCTTGGGTACAAAGACTATTTGACTTCCATTAGCTTTCAGTGAAAAGCGTTTGATTTGGAAACGCCTCACTTCCCAGGAAAAAGGGGACTATAAATAAAACCAGCGAAATTCATATCTCCCAAATATCCCCTCCCCATCTTTATCTCCTTCCTCCCTAACAACCTCGTTGGTCAGTCTAATGGCTTTTATGATTGTCACAAGGTCATCATTTTCCTGATGAAGCGCACTTTCTCTGAGCAGCTCACTCAGTTAATATTTGTTTTAGGAACACTTTCCCCTGGAGCCTGAATGTATTTATTTGTGTGCAATCCGCTTCGATAAACACATGACTGTTCCTGCCTGTGCTGCAGTGTGTGTGTCCTCGCTGCAGAAGCAGGATCCCTGTGATATGACTCAGCCTGACAGCCTCCCATACAAGATGCGACCGTGTGTCACAGCACAGAAATAGAGGAGCTTATTTCTTTACATCAGTCTTCAGCTCTATAAATATTTCAAAGCTCTCTTTCCTCCCTCTCCCTCCTTTTCTTTTCCTTTCTGCAGCTTTCTCAGCCCCCCCCATTCTCCCCTCTCTGTTTGTCAATTTTTCTCCTACACACTCTGCCTCCCACATCTCCTCTTCTCCCTCTGCCTCTGTCGTATAATGTGGATAAATGTGTCTCGCCTGTCTGGAAAGAGGCAGCGGTGTTCAGCAGCAACAAAAACACTCATGTGCTGCAGATCCTTTCTGAGCCTGTGAGGTTTGTTTCCCCCCTCCGACATTCCTGCAGGGCTCTTTAGTAATCTGACAGTGATTTTATCATGTCACATACAGACATCCACTACTTCCTCCCTTCCTTACTTTGCTGTCCAACAGATTTCCACCAATCAAGTGCAGCATGACAGTTAATCACAGCCATTAATCCCGTCTTCCACTCCTCAGATCTTTGATTCAGAAATAGCCTGTTTACAGAAATAGACCACACTGGATCTAACTGACTGCTAGTTAGGTGCCTAAAACGTAAGCTCACGGTGCCATCCTCCCTAACCTGGCAGTGTGGGAAGTAAGCGTGCCACCTATGAAGGCAGCAGTCCCCAACCCCCACCCTGAACACATGTTCAACATCCTCTGGGCAAAGGCTGAGCGAGCACTGAGAGACAGCTGAGAATTAGAGAGAGAGAGAGTGGAAGAGGGAGAGAGAGCAGTGAAGTGGAAATATGGGTGAGCATCAGAGGAAGACAGAAATAGAGCGATAAAGCAGTGAAGTAGGCAGAGGCAGTGAGCGGAGGAGGAGAGTCTTTCTCTGGCGCTGATGCTTCATGCAGACCAGCTTATTTCTGCTAGCAGGGAGCTCTGGTGTGTGGATGTGAGAACCTTGTGGATTTGCTCCAGTCTCAGTAGAATTCATTGCACCAGGATCCAAAACAACAGACAGAGGATGCGACCGTGGCTGGATGCTAGCATCCATGTGGGCCTGTGACGTCTGCACCTCTGTGGCTACCTTCTTCATCATAAGGATGCTTCCAGCAGCACTGACCCAGATTGTGGAGCTCTCCACTGTGCTCTGCTCCTCCGGTGGTCTCTGAATGTGATGTGCGAGAGGAATGATCTGCACCTCCTCTACTGACATCTGTCTCTGTGGATACTCACAGCTTCCGACAGGGTAAGGACGCACTGCTCTGATATGCACGCTTAAATGTCCGGCTGATGGTTTTGTGTGTGCACGTGCCTGTGTGTTAGCCATTGATCGAACCCATTACAAATCACTACGACCACGTAGACCTGATTTATATTGCTCACACGCTCCCTCTTGAACACATACATTGAGATTGTTTTCTTTCAGATGCTTCAAAAGGTTCCAAATTGTGCTGATGAACTGATGCCATATTGTATTAATGCACTATGCAGTATAGCTCCATGTATAATGTATGACTAGGAGATATCATTGTTGGCAACAAGTAACTGCGCTTCCCCCAAAGTACTGAGGAAAGTAGGCTAAGATGGCACAGGCTGAGAAGACCTGAATACAACATTTATAAAGTCCTTTTGGTTTCTGAAAGCTTTTGGCTTCGTATTGCTTGGAGGGAAAAATGGACACGAGAGAGGAGTTGATCCTTTACACTGGGGGAAATAAAGTACTACTAAAGTATTCAGCTGAATTCCATCGGATCCAGGCTAATAAAGACAAATTCAACCCAGTAGCTTTCTTTCAGTCTGGTCAGATCAGGTCAGTTCATTGTAATTTGATCAAGCGTCAGAAGTCAATAAGACACAGAACAGATCAGCATGTCTTCTACCACAAGACAAAGCCATGTCATTTGACCAGGGTTCAGACATTGGGACCAGAGGTCAGACTGAGGTCAATGTTTCACCAAAGAGCCAAACTGTCTCATCTAATTAGGTAATTACACACGTGTCTTATAATGTGGAGCGTGGGATGCTAACATTTAGTCCCTTTACTTGTCTTTTCTCTAAAACTGAAATCTACTGGAAGGTTACCTGAATATATTTTAGCATATCACGTTCAGCTGAGTACAGTTAAGAATATATACAAAGGCCTACTGGGTAATATTAGGCAATACTTGTTTAGTTTAGTTTGAGTTTACAAAAGTTTGGGACGTCGTAACTACCTTACATAATGTTAGGTATTAATAAAGTAACAATAGCTTTGTACCTAAAAAATACCATGTTGACATTTGTTTTCATACTGGTCATCAACATTAGTCCCCTTAGTGGAAGTTTTATTTTTGTTGGACCCATCCATTGGTCTCATACAAACAAAGACTTTTGTTGCACTTTAAAATATTACACACAACTCCTCCTTCTCTCCCGTCATTATTACTAAGACCAGGTTGCAGCCTTAAAACATATGGGTTGTAATAATCTGCTTGCAAAGATGACCCATTGGTCCTGAGCAATACCAAGTAAAGTAAGAAGTCTATCAGATGAAAGGTTGTGGAGAAACTCGAACAACATACAGTACATATACAGTATACAGACAGACATTCTTTCCCTATTCATTATATTGCTCAATGTATTGTCAGTATCATGTTCAAACAATCTAGGTTACACTAGAAAATAACTAGTTTGTTCAAAGTTTGTTCAACGTCAGAAGTGTTTATTCCTTACAAACTGTAACAATTTCAGAGGTGAAAAGCTGTTGCAAGTGGGAGACGCAACATTGTTTAAATATAAGGGACATGCCACACATTTTCAGAGGGGTATTATTAGTGTTTCACTCTACTGTTGGTCTTGTGAGAAATGCCAGAAATAGTTGTGTGAAAACTGAAAAAAGAGAGCCACTAAAAGTAGCTACCCTCCTCAAATTGGCACTGCTGGCCAACCCCCCTGGGAAGTGTGTGTGAATGTTGGTTTCAGAAAGTTACAGAAATGCCTGGACTCATCCCCATCAGAAAGGATACTGTAGCTGTTCAAGGATTCAACAAACATTTATGATAAGAATATTGGCATGAACATCGATAGAGAGCAAACCTAGCATGCTTTTCCGCCCGTGTAACGGTTGATATGCTGTAGTGAGTAACAGAAAGCAAACGTTACCCAGCATGCAGTAGGTTTCAAATTTGAGACCCCTTAATACACTTCACAATGTGTACATAACACAATCTTGATAAATATGTCCTGTAGATCTCAAGAACTCACACAATACAACCATCAAGTGTGATGAAGATTGGATAACCGAATGTTAAGAAAACGTAAAGACAGACACAGAGACTTATACTTGATATATATATATATATTTATTTAAAGAAATCTTTGAGCAAAAGAGTGCCTTTATCAGAGATACAGTGTGGGAAGAGGGGGATAGAGGGTATGACATTGCCTGACATTTTCCTCGGGCTCGGGAGTCAAACCGAGGTTCTTGGCAGCGGTGACTAGGGTTGGGTATCGTTTGAATTTCCACGATTCTGATTCCGATTCCGATTCTACTTTTCGATTCCGGTTCTTAAAGGTTCTCAATTCCGATTCTTTGAGGGGCAGGGTAAAAAAATTACACATGCTTCTTCCACCAAAACATTACATTTATTCGAGAAACTTTTACACAGGTTAGTTTACAGTAATATTCACATTAATCAGTCTGTTTATATTCACTGCTATGTAACTGTAACCTGAGAACCACTGAAGCTACAACAGTCCAACTTTTAAAGGACCCCCCCCCCCCCCCCACCATTTAAAAACAGTTATTGTTGAGAAAAACAAGCATGCCTGCCTTCTCAGGCATACCGGGAAGAAATGTTTGAACATTTTAAAGTAAAATGCTTCAATCTGGTGCACTTTAAGCAGAATTACTAGAGACTAGATCTAGGGGTTACAACTCTAAACACCCATATGAAAAAGATCGGTTTACATTTTAATAATTAAATAAGTATGTGAACATAACCAATAACCTACCATAGCCAATAACAAATCCATGTAACGTATTTTATTTTTGTTGTTCATTCATATCTTATTTTACTATTTTATTAATGCATATGTTTGTATCTTTCCAGTTTAAAACGATATGTCTGGTTTACTGTCCTATAGTATACATTGGAATGATTTCAAACCTGTTTTACCTGTTTTATTACAAGACATCTATCAATATGTGTGTATACCTCCACCATTAAACTGTCATATTCTGCACATTTCTTATACTATCTACATACATCTTATAAGAGTATAATTAATATGTATAATATCAGTTAAAATAAGTGCTTCAACATAGTTAACATTGCAGGAAAGCAATATATTACTTTGTCAGGCTTAATGTTTATCTGTAGATACCCCCAAAGCTCTTATTTAAAAGAAGACCTTAACCTAGTGTTTCTCAAATTGGGGGGCGCAGAGGCATGACAGGGAGAGACCAGGAGGAAAAATACTTATGACAAGAACAAAAACGATTAAAAAAAGATTCATACATTCAAATATTATTGATTCGAAAATAATATGCTACAGTACAAGTACGTCTGGGTCTCTGTGTTTCATTCAAGCTCGGCTCTGTGTGTGTATGGAACGAGCCATTTTGTGTGCGTGTGCGAGAGAGAGAGAGCACACCTGTACCGGAGATCGTTGTTGTTAGCTTATGGTGCTAGCGAGTTACGCTAACGGATATAAGGAGCTTTTTCAACAACAAGGTGGAAGAGAGTCCTCTCCTGGCAGACTGAGAGGCTCAGGTGAGCTAAAGGACTCTCTTACCTCATTCACACCAACGCCACTCCGGTTCAAGCTCCGTGCTAGAGCTTTTCAGGTTCAGAAATGGTTCTTCGGTTTAGCTCCGGCTTTTTTCACACCGCCCAGAGTCCGACTGGTGCTGCGTCATTGCGTCATCGTTTGCGTCATGACGTAACCGTTTGCGTGCCTGCTTCATAAACCCAAACCGCGCGGAAACCCCTCACAGATGACACGACAACAACAACAATGGCCGATTGTGCTCCAGCTTCCTCTGTACCTCTTCGGAAGCCCAGATTCCCAGTAGGTAGCTGGTCTCTTCAGTGGACCACTGCTGCTTGTTAAGTTTCTCCATCGTTGTGTACAAACTGGATGAAAGGCCGGCTTTTTGTTGTTGTTCAGGAGTTGATCCCCCCCTGCCCCGCCTCAACGTAAGCGTGACGTATGCGGTGCTTTTGCTCTGGCCGGACAATTTTTTGGTGCTCGAAATGAACCGGATTCCGGAGCTAAGAGGCTGCTCCGCTGCGGTGTGAATAGGAAAACCCGGTGCTTTTCAAGCTCCAGCTCCGAACCGGCCCCGATGAACCGGTTCTGAACCTGAAAAGCTCTAGCACGGAGCTTGAACCGGAGTTGCGTTGGTGTGAATGAGGTAATAGATGGGGCAGAGATATCATAAAACTGTGTATATGCTTTCAAACACACAGTAGTTTATTTATTTTTTAACCAGCTGTTCTATATTCACTTTGCAGGTGCAACTATGTGGCTTGTATACTGGATTATATGTTTAAGTAATGGATGTTTAAAGCTCATATTTGTCTAATATTAGTTTACTTTTCATTAATGAAGTATGACGCTGTGCTGTCAGTACACTTGTCCCTGTTTGTGATTGGTCAAATGTTGCTAACCCCGCCCCTTTCACTTGAACGCGCTCTCAGCTGGAAAGATAAACCCTGGCTTGATTTACCGAGTTGATAACCAGCGTCGTAGGACCGCTTAGCGAGATCTCGTTTGTTAAGGTTAGTTAAGATAACTCAAACATATCCAGGGTATGTTGAACTGGCTTCGTAGTACAGGGCACAGGTGGCTGCATAGCAGCGCTAATGTCAAAGACACAAACATTATACATGATATTTTTATTTTACCAGGATGCGACAAAATTATTTGGGAAGGCTTAGCCTTCTCTAGCCTACAGTACCCGCCGCCCCTGTGTTCAACCATTGGTCAGACATTAAGGAGGTAAAAACGCAAATCCCGGCAATTTCTACCGGAGCCTCCGCCATGGAGCATCGGCACTTTCGGCAGGTTATTCTGATGCTGCTGTTAATCTGGAGCAGGGTATGGCTGGGGTAGGCTACAGCCATACCAAGAAATGGCTTAGCCCCGCCTTAGCCCCACCATGAAAAGTGATGTTAAAGTAAGCTAATTCAATTAAATAATAAGCAAAATGCTTAAATGTTGAGAACACGGATTGCGAAAATATATGGGTCGTGTCCACAA